AATAGAGCTTTTCATAGACTGTCCCCCACTAAATATGAATAATCTCCACTCTTTATCTCTTGTCAAAATCACAGCTGTTTGGAAAACAACAATTGAACAAAGTCAAAAATAAAATATAGTTTTAATGTCCTTAAATATTGAGAAAAAATTATTACAAGTGGCGTGAAAAAATTAATTGTGTCAGGTGCGTTTTCTATTGGACAGTAGGCAACTGCCAACAAACAAATATTTATTTAAGGCCCATGTTTTAAAATAATTAGTAAATATTGTACATGTGTATGCTATACTTACAGGTATTTGCTAGTAATAAGCAGATGGTACTCCATTATACTGCACTGATAGCTTCTCAAAGATTATGAAATTAATATGATACATGCAAACAGGTAAGAAAATTCTAGAATAGAGGGAAATATTTGTTGCAGATGTACCGGGTCAACAGGTGTGTGAAAGTCAGTCAAAATATTGGGTCTCAATAGCTCAGTGGGTTAGTTTGCTGGCAATGTACGCCAGAGGCCCTGGGTTTGAGTCTTGGTTGAGACTTCACTTTTCACCACCTGTTACAGTTGTATATATTGATATATGAAAATAATACATGTATTATATTGTCACATTGTACTATAGCAATTGTGTGAATTATTGAATGCATAGAAAAACCATTAGCATTCAGACTAAATTAAGTAAAATTATAGTTAACTTTGTTAATTCATAGAATACTTGTGACTTGTGTAATAAAATATGTTACAGACATAATGAACAAAATGTTATTGAACTGACATTTTTGAGTTTTTCTGTAGGCACAGTTAAAATGTCAATCATCACAAGATCAAACTTCAGTACCAGAGTAACCCTAAATCAATTATCATCCTGATTTGTCAAAAGACTACATGTAAGTAATTTGTATGAATATTTTAATTAATTTGGACTCTTTAATCTTAACAATTATATCAAAGCTGCACATATTTAATTTTTGCCATCTAAACCAGAGTTCAATATTACAGAGAACAGTTTAGAGGTGGAAACTGATAGATCATTTGAAGAAGATCCTGTTAAAGTAGTCATAAATATGTTTCACAAAACAATGAACACCTTGTTACAGCATCCTATCTTGAACAGCCTAGAACAGGTATTTGTTACTTTCACTCAAAATGTTTGAAAACTCTAACAATACACAACTTGTAAGCTAAACTCCTAAGTTCAATATTACAGAGAACAGTCTGGAGGTGGAAACGGGTGGATCACTTTTAGAAGAAACTGTTAAAGCACAGAGACATGTACCAAGGAACAACAAGACATGATTGTTGCAGCATATCTTGAACAACCTGGCATAAGGTATTTGTCACTAAACTCAGGTCTAAAGAGTACAAATGTATTCACATATTTTTAGGTCACCTGAGTAAACTCGAGTTCAGGGTTTTGGTGCTAGGGCGGGGCTCTAATGAAAGATTATAAAGTAAAAAATGCATGAATTCCTCGAAAACCTTTTCCTTTGCTCCTGGTTATTATGTCAGTGTTCTAATTAAGTACATATTAATGATGATGAAAGGTGCCTTTTCCAAAATGGTTAGTTTCAGATCCCCTGGGTCAGGGTACTTGGGATTGGGGTGGAATCACATAGTCTATAAATAAATTAATGCTTTGAAATTTTCTTTTTGGTAATAATCAACCGTTTATGTTGAAATAAATTTTATGATAAAATTTCCAGAATTTTGAAATATGTGCCCCCAGGGTCAGTGGTTCCTGTAGGGTAGTCTGTGCACAACTGGTTAAAAAGTGGAAATACATGTTCTCTTTGTTACTATGATCTAACTCTGGGTATTAAGTAACTAAAGTAAGCAAGCTAAGTGTATTTTAAATTCTTGGCCATAACATAATAACTAATAATTGTAAACGTAAGATCTAAAGATCTCAAAATTCAATCTCTGTGACTTTGACACAGTTATTTCACTGCCTCTGGTGATAGTAAAGCAGCCTTTTTATTTAGAATATATCTTCATGGAAGTTATTATTTTATATTTTAAAAGCATATCACGATATCTACAATTCAAATTACCCTATGTTAGAGTTGGGATATAGTCCTTTAGACCTTTCAGTCACAAACAATTTTTGTCTATCTAAATGTTTCCATTATAGAATTGTGATTTAAAACAAGAGGCCCGTGGGTCTTACGGGTCACCTGAGTATCATGTAACAACTGTCCAACAATTGAATTGGTTCATGTTTTAAATCAAAGGCCATTAAATTCAAAATTTTGAAAGAGGCACAATTGCTTATCATAACTAATACATTTAGCTTGCTTACTTTAGTTACTTAATCAGGTTGGGGGGAAAAGTAAATTCCGCTATAATAGTGGTATCTCACTATTATTGTGAAATTACGCTATATTTCCTGCCGTGGATACCCTCAATTTCATCCGATGGCAAGTAAGGCGTTTGAACCGCAAGTCATTGTGAGTATTAAGATGAACAAAAACTGTCATGCTTGCACGTTTTGAATTTTAATAAATTTTCTACCGTTGCGTTTAATTATGCGAGCACTCTTTTTTTAACGGAAGTTGCATTTTTAACATAGCAACCGATGATTTCGGGGATATCTAAGCCTGTTTGAATATCACTTATTGCTCATTAATGTGCACAAATTGATGCTTGTTGCGATTGTCAACTTAAACTGTAAAGGGTTTATTTAATTAAACAAGAAAAAGATTATTTGTGTCTGCATGGTTACGGGTATGGAGGCTCGTTATGGTAAACGGGAAGACACATTATGGCAAACATAAAAAAGAGTATAATGATAAACTCGATTTCTATCCTCTTTACAAAATAAATTTATAATAAATAATCAAAAAAATTACTTATATAAAAACGATCCTAGAAAATATATCTAATTTTTAATTTCGGCCGGTTAATTGTTTGTTTCAGAAAAAAAGACTTAATTTATTTTGGTGTCGGGAATATTTGACAAGAGTGCCTGTAACACGTTCAAATAGTTATGATTTAAGAATCTTTTTAACTGCATACAAATGTATCTTATTTAACTTTATGTTTATGCGCTTAGGCAAGAATGATTTAACTTTAAAATCTGAGAGAAATAGCTGTAGTTTTTTTCTTGTTATTTGAAAAATATTTATACCTAATTATATTCTAGGAAATGAAAGTATGTAGCAAAAAATCACACTAAAGTATTATTTTTTTCAGGCTTTTAAATTTATGCCATTGTATTATTGTTTAAACCACTACGAACCTTCAAATAACCAATCACCACTGCTCAATATTCAGCACAAGAAATGTCTAAAACATTTTTGACTCAATTAATATTTTTCACAATTCAAAATTGATTTAAAGCATCAAATCGGCCACATTTTAAAACAATTTAAATATAATTAGCATTTGATAAAGTACTTTCACAATTTTGAAAGCATATCCATGCAATGGAAGTACAAGATATTCAAAGCTGAACTAGAATCTTGAGAAGGGTATATTTTCATTTTCAATCAAATCTTTTATCACTGACTTCATATGCGTGAGAACCCGGGGGGGGGGGGGGGGGGGCTTAGCCCAACACTTTTTTTGCAAAGATAGTACATTTTGTTTGTATTGAAACTTGGAGTTTACCTTTTTGTTGGTTTAGCCCCCCCCAACTTTGAATTAGCCCCCTACTTTCAATTTCCTTCAGACTCCTATGGATTTATTACATCGATGAATCCATCTGATGAGCAAATGCACTTAAATATCTATGTACGTACTTACTGGAGTATTTAAAAAAATATTTATTTACATTGCTTTGAAGACAGTCTGAAATAAAAAAATGACCGAACCACGTGCACCCTGGATCTTGATCACATAAAAATTCCTATGGTTTATGCAGAATAGGGTATGCTGCAAGGCGCTGTGCAAAATGTGGAAACAAAATTATCCTCGTTTCATTCGCAGCATTCACAGCTGTAACATATTCAAAACTTTTTTTTATGAGTTGAACTTTTTAAAAAAAATTTTTATTAACCATGCACTTTATGTACCAGTCGTTATGATGTGACCGGGAAGTCATAATTTCTTTTTATATCTACATGTATATATATAGTACCTATTAAAAAGTCTTTTTATTTAGTCAAAAATTATTAAATATCTTGATGAGAAATGACAATGAAATTGAAACATTATAACAATACTATTTTAAATGTGTTTATTAAGCATTAAAAGAATTACTTATGATTTTCTAATTGTTATCAGTAAATAATTATTATACTGAATTATAACAAAAATAATTTCTCATTTCTCATGTTCACGATCTAATACAACCATGCACAAAAAGATCGGCCGCTGCGATAATAATGGGTCTTTCTGTTTACCATAACGGGCCTCCATACCCTTAACTATGCAGACACAAATAATATTTTTCTTTTTTAATTAAATAAACCCTTTACAGTTTAAGTTGACAATCGCAACAAGCATCAATTTGTGCACATTAATGAACAATAAGTGATATTCAAACAGGCTTAAAAATCCCCGCAATCATCGGTTGCTGTGTTAAAAATGCAACTTCTGTTAAAAAAAGGGTGCTCGCATTATTAAACGCAACGGTAGAAAATTTATTAAAATTCAAAACATGCAAGCATGACAGTTTTTGTTCATCTTAATACCCACAATGACTTGCGGTTCAAACGCCTTACATGGCATCGGATGAAATTGAGGGTATCCACGGCAGGAAATATAGCGTAATTTCACTATAATAGTGAGATACCACTATTATAGCGGAATTTACGTTTCCCCCAACCTGTTAATACCCAGAGTTAGATCATAGTAACAAAGAAAAAATATATTTCCACTTTTTAACCAGTTGTGCACAGACTACCCTACAGGAACCACTGACCCTGGGGGCACATATTTCAAAATTCTGGAAATTTTATCATAAAATTTATATCAACATAAACGGTTGATTATTACCAAAAAGAAAATTTCAAAGCATTAATTTATTTATAGACTATGTGATTCCACCTCAATCCCAAGTACCCTGACCCAGGGGATCTGAAACTAACCATTTTGGAAAAGGCACCTTTCATCATCATTAATATGTTCTTAATTAGAATACTGACATAATAACCAGGAGCAAAGGAAAAGGTTTTCGAGGAATTCATGCATTTTTTACTTTATAATCTTTCATTAGAGCCCCGCCCTAGCACCAAAACCCTGAACTTGAGTTTACTCAGGTGACCTAAAAATATGTGAATACATTTGCACTCTTTAGACCTGAGTTTAGTGACAAATACCTTATGCCAGGTTGTTCAAGATATGCTGCAACAATCATGTCTTGTTGTTCCTTGGTACATGTCTCTGTGCTTTAACAGTTTCCTCTTCAAGTGATCCATCAGTTTCCACCTCCAGACTGTTCTCTGTAATATTGAACTTAGGAGTTTAGCTTACAAGTTGTGTATTGTTAGAGTTTTCAAACATTTTGAGTGAAAGTAACAAATACCTGTTCTAGGCTGTTCAAGATATGCTGTAACAAGGTGTTCATTGTTTTGTGAAACATATTTATGACTGCTTTAACAGGATCCTCTTCAAATGATCTATCAGTTTCCACCTCTAGACTGTTCTCTGTAATATTGAACTCTGGTTAAGATGGCAAAAATTAAATATATGCAGCTTTGATATAATTGTTAAGATTAAAGAGTCCAAAGAAGAAGGTATGGTTTCCATTCAAATTTTGCCCTGTGATTTTCTAAAAAATGAAACTGGTGTAAAAGTTGAAAACTCATGCTTTTTAAATAATTTAAATTCAATGCAGAAAAATCATACAAGTCATTTTTCTCACATGTGATTTAAATGCTAATTATGACGTCATAAACATGTGCATTTTCCCGTATTTTCTTAAAAAGTTGCAGAAGACACCAATTTTCAATGGAATTTTCTTTCAGATAACATTGTTCACAGGCATCGCCCACAAAGATATTGAGATATGTGATTTGTTATTAAATTTTGCACAAAATATCAAAAAATTAACGTGGGCGACGGCTGTGGACATTGTTTTCTACAGGAAAATCCCATTTGAAATGTACCATTTTGAGGCTTTTTCAGTTGAATATAGAGAAATGCTTCAGATTAATGACGTCATATTTGCAGAATGGTAAACCTTCATGCCATATTTTTTCCTGATTTATCACAGTCATATACTTAACTAATGTTGAAGTCAGTTTCAAAACTTTTGATGTCATTAATTTTTAGGGCGCAATAAAGCTAAAACCATACCTTCTCCTTAATTAAAATATTCATACAAATTACTTACATGTAGTCTTTTGATAAATCAGGATGATATTTGATTTAGGGTTAATCTGGTACTGAAGTTTGATCTTGTGATGATTGACATTTTAACTGTGCCTACAGAAAAACTCAAAAATGTCAGTTCAATAACATTTTGTTCATTATGTCTGTAACATATTTTATTACACAAGTCACAAGTATTCTATGAATTAACAAAGTTAACTATAATTTAACTTAATTTAGTCTGAATGCTAATGGTTTTTCTATGCATTCAATAATTCACACAATTGCTATAGTACAATGTGATAATGTAATACATGTATTATTTTCATATATCAATATATAAAACTGTAACAGGTGGTGAAAAGTGAAGTCTCAACCAAGACTCAAACCCAGGGCCTCTGGCGTACATTGCCAGCACACTAACCCTATGAACTGACTGAGACCCAATATTTAGACTGACTTTCACACACTTGTTGACCCGGTACATCTGCAACAAATATTTCCCTCTTTTCTAGCATTTTCTTACCTGTTTGCATGTATCATATTAATTTTTTAATCTTTGAGAAGCTATCAGTGCAGTATAATGGAGTACCATCTGCTTATTACTAGCAAATACCTGTAAGTATAGAATACACATGTACATTATTTACTAAATATTTTAAAACATAGGCCTTAAATAAATATTTGTTTGTTGGCAGTTGCCTACCGTCCCATAGAAAATGCACCTGACACAATTAATTTTTTCTAGCCATTTGTAATAATTTTTAGGACATTAAAACTATGTTTTAGTTTTGACTTTGTTCAATCGTTGTTTACCAAACAGCTGTGATTTTGACAAGAGATGAAGAGTGCATGGAGCTTATTCATATTTAGTGGGGGACAGTCTATGAAAAGCTCTATTATTTGTTATCTGAAATTAAAAATCTGAAAACATTTTATTTTTTAAGGACACACGAGACCTTCCTCAATTACAGATAAATTTCCATAAAACTTCATGCTTGAACTATTTGCATATAAACCTGTTCATGCCCAAAAAATTGGGGTATGTCACCAGGCTATTTATAGAGTTAGAATAAATTGGATAATCCTTATTATAACATGCAAAAAAAGTATTGAATGCTATTTATAAAGTCATAGTAGATATTTTCCATTGAAACTGTATATCCAGATGGTAAAGTATGATAAAAAATGAAATTTATTTTTTGAAAACCATGTTTCCAGGCTATTGAATAAATTTTCTAATGATAATGTTATTTTTTATCATTGTAACTGATTGAGTTATCTCCCTTTGATATGAAAAGAAATGAGAAACAAATGCAGTGGAATAGAAAGTGTATTTACATCATCATGATATCACAGATAATTGTTCAAATTAGAAACATTTAGTCATTACATGTATATTCATATAACAATAGTCATTACATGTATTTTCATATAACAAGTGGTCAGTTACCTTTCATAAAATACTGATGTAATGACTTGATGATTTTACCATTGGATGTCACTCTGACCTTACCCATGTTTTTCTCTGACAAAATAGACTTTATACCATTCACAGGATCTCTGTGATGAGCAATGCAAAGATGGTCATAGTGAAGACCAGATGCTGCAATTTTGTTAGCTGTAAATTTAGACAAAATATTTTCATCTACAAGATGTTTCAATGAAGAAGCATTTCTACTCAATAAAATAGCATATTTGTCATTCTCAATAACAAAATCTACACTAAAGCTGTGTTTCAGCATCATGGCTCTAGAAATATCAAGGTGAAGCACAAGTCGCTGTAGAGCTTCAGAATCCGCTAAAGCGTCATGGGCGTCATATTGTGCGGTGCATAAATCTTTCATAAGATCCACTTGTTTGTAAGACTTTCTGTTGGGAACAGCTTCTCTAAATAGAGGTAGTGTGTCTACAAACCCAATAATGAAGTCACTGGCTCTTAGTCCCACTTGATGCATTGCACGAATTATAACATTCGAGTCGAATTTTGCATTGTGAGCAACAAACACTATGTTGGAAAAATTTTTCAAGCATGTAATAAATGTTTCTATACCATCCTTTGCATTCTTACATGGCACCTGTACTCCATTCTTGAACATAATATTCTCCTTCACAGCAATACCCGATACAGCAGTGGCAGAGGGTGAAATGGGCTGTGTAGATGGAAGGATATACTGTGAAAACGATTTCTCAGAGGCATATGCACCAATCTGGGTGACTTCACAATCTTTACCTATAAAATCATAAGGAAAAGGAATTATAAATCAATATGTCACAAACAGACAACATACACTTTTACATTACAAATTTATAATTCTGGAAGAAATGAAGCAGTGGCATAATTATTATGAAAATAATACGTCAGTTCCATGCATTACTTCTGCATCAATATATGAACACTCACCAAGGCCTGTAGTTTCCAAATCAAAATAAACAAATGTGCACTGGTCATGGACAATAGGAGTAGACTGGGGTTTTCTCAGAGGTGGTGGTATCTCTGTAATGTTTTCCATGTCTCCTTCATTGTTGTTTAGATCAACACATGTTTTGTATGTTGTTCCCTCCCTAATCTCTGATGACTCTTGTGACTTCTGGGAATCTATTTTCTTCATTGCCCTGTTCTTCTTGTAAGCTGGTGTATCTTCTCTTTCCTTGTCTCGTTTCCTTTTCAAGTCTGTTTTCTTTGCACTGGAACTAGTGACTTGTCCAGGAGAAAGAAGCAACTTCTCATTTACCTGTAATGAAAGAGGGTATGTTCAAAATGATATCTTCTTTACATGGAAATACATGTGTTTATTGTATTGTCTTGTAGTAATGAAATATACAAATTACTATACTACATGTATATACCTGTATTACATATTGATGTCCTAAATTTTTCTGTGCCACAGCAGCAGCAATACGAAAGTCATTACTCTCGGATCCAGAGTAGAAAGTGGACTTAGGTGTTTTACTTGCAACTGTATTGTTGAAACTCTCATTTGCCTGTGTACTTCCTAAGTTGATCAATTTTTCAGCCTGTGAAATGTAGAATCCAAAGAGAGATAATAGATCAGATTTCAAGTGTTGGTTAGATAGGTAACGGTGATATGGAAGTTGCTGTGGCTTGTAGGTTTCAGGAGAAGAGAGAAATCCACACCAGGTATCACATAGGCTGTGGTCTCCATAGACGTGTGGTGTTATGGCCTCCAGATTTTTCTTTAGACTGCTCAAATCTTCTTGATTTTGACTGATGCAGTATTTGAAACACTTGCTGATATGATTTATGGTTTTGGTATTTAGTTCTTTGTAGTTCTTGCTCTTCTTCAAGTCATATAATTTATTAGTAAATTGTTTCATTGTATGGTTTTTATCACTCTGTTTCTTTAGGGCTGGGTTTACCTCCAAGCGTGCTCTTGCAACAGTTGTTGAATCATTGTCCATGATAACAGTGCTGACATTCATATCATTTTGGCCAAGTTCTTGCAACATCTGTATGCACATATCTGGTTCCATGGCTTTTGCACTTTTGGACCAGTTCTTTCGACAGTCATGGATGGATAGATCCTTTCCAGATTTTTCAGAGTTGTCGCATACTCTACAAAAGCTGTTGCGAGTTGCAAAATTGACAATTTTCCCCGTTTCATTTCCGATCATTGCAGCATGACCTGCAAAATTATAATGTATAAATTATAAAAAAATACATGCAATAAACGAGTAATATCACAACTAAATTACTGTATGAAGATAAAATGTACTGTCTTACATTTTACTTATTGCCAATGTGACATACACTAATCAGTCTATTGAAGTTGGACTATGAAACAGTGGAAGATGTATTCAATTTTTATAAAAAAAGAATATCCCTTATTATTTCACTAACATCCACTAAAGAGATAAAAATGTACTTCATGCCAGAAATGCCAGAAAGTGTAATATATTATACCATTATGGACTTCAGTGTAGGTCGATATGTGGTTATAGGGAGTCATGGCAATTGATACTGACCAATGACACAGAGATTGATAGCGAAAGAGTAGGCGAGGTCGCTATCATTTTCTGTGTCTGAGGTCAATATCAATTGCCATGAGTCCTATAACCCTAGTAATAAATTTGACCGTTCACTGAAGTCCATAATAGTTATATTATATAATCACTCAAATTGAATGCACTGACACAGTTGTAACTGAACGGATTAGCTGTCATTATGTCACAATGGTTAAATTCACGCTTCTTATAATATTACATCATGTACTACGTAACTTTAGTGCAACGAAATGGCATGTTGTGTGATATTATTTTATTTCATTGGAATGTTTAGATAATAAATTATATACCTGACAAACTGGAATAGGATCTACCTGATCCTCTTTTCTGCCACCCGCCATCAAATGATACAGACAGCTCATTAGGTGTACTGTAAAACAACATAGTTCATGTTAGTATATGTAACCTTGATTTTCATATTTATATTATAAGCATTGCAAATACTATAAAAAAAATGTTTGATAAAAATACCTGTCACAGTACACAGGTTAAAAAATGTTCAATATATTTCTGTTACTACAAAAGTAATTTGGTACCTTGATGATTCCTTCTCGGCCGCAGCCATATCGTCACAACTCTTTTTGGCCACTTCTTCTAATGCCTTTCCTACTTCCCTCTCTGTTTTCTTCAAGGTTTTGTGGCACACAGATGGAATATTAAGTACACTTAATAGCATTGATACTTTCTTCTGGCCAATGCCTGCATGAAGCATACCTATAATATAAACAATTTTATATACTGTTCTTTTTACAACATAATAACATTGAAATTTTTGTAATTTATGATTTATAATATATCTAGTATACCATTCAAATATCAAATAAAAATAAAAATGTCCTCAGAATAAAACTGCACTACATTTTTGTTTGTAGTACATGTACATATAAAATTTAATTATCTATATACAATGCCTACCAAGAGCCAGTTTTGTGTTGACATCAAATGCTCTTGATGGATGGTCACTGTCTATACGCGAGTGTCTCTTTCCTGTTGGAACTGATACCACCATATCACAATTCACACACTTTATTTGTAACATTGATGCCAGTCCATATCTGATCTCACCACAAATATTTGTGAAGTTCAAAGGCTGTCTACAAAATTCACAACCTTCAATCAGTTTTTCGATGACATGCTGAATTTCAATAACCCTTCTCCCTTCGTTCCACTTTATCGTTACATCATCACCAGTGTCTTCACAACCTATCACGATTTCCTCTTCCTCGATGTTGGATGGCATTGACATACAATAGTCATGCTCAAAAGGTACATATTCTGGCAAATCGATGGATTGAGAAGTCTCGGACAGAACAAGACCTGCATCATCATGACCTTTAATAAATGAAATGCACAGTTATACAATAATATGCAGGATATACATGAAGCTGTTTATACGTCCGTATGAAACATATATGAAAGAGAATCGAAAACAAGAAATCATAATCAAAATTTTACTCACTTGGCTGCGGAGGTATCTCTCCTTGCTTTTTTCGCTGTTTGTTTACTTCTAATGCCCGTATCCTTCTCAATTTTCCTTCGGATATAAATTTCCCACCTTTCCCGCGAACTTGTTCCTCCATGATGTAAACAAAGTAATAAAATTACCTCCAATTACAAAAAAGCGCATAAAGGGACATAATAATTTCTTAACATTCAAACCAATTCTGGAATTATTCCGGAATTTCGTAGTGGAAATCTTCACATTGCGGAGATAGAAAAAAATTATTTGGAATTAATGGAAGATACGTCGCGTCTGACCTTAAAATGCCTTTAATACTACTACCTTCCTACGTACCCAGTCTAAACATTATAGGTTGGCAACTGCTTTTAGCTTGGCCATTATTATTTTTAGTAACCACAATAAAGAATATAGACCTACAGTAGTGAGTATATTATACGTGACAACTGATTATTGGAAAGTAACTAGGCTTTGACTCAATGGCGGATTTAAGTTGGGGCATACCCGGTATATACCCGGTGTGTGCCCCCTAAAATTGTCAAAGTTAGCATAAAACATAGTTTTGTCCAGAAAACGTTTAAAATGTTTACTTGGTACTCGGTAGACCTCAATTTTACCCTACAAAACCTAGCTCTAGAATCCATGAATTTCCAGGGGCTTCGCCCCCAGGACCCCCACCAAGGCTTTGCCCTGGACCCACTGGGGGCCTCAAGGTGGCAACCAGACCCCCTGCCTAAGCTCTTGCAACCCCCCTTAACTTCAATTCCTGGATCCGCCCCTGAGACTCCTGTCTTGCCTTCTTGATAGGCCTATTATATAATGTACTACCATGATAACTTAGCTTCTTTATATCAGCATATATTTTTGAATGTACATGAACACAAGTTAAAACTTAATGGCTATAACAGCTGATATTTATAAAAAAAAAGGGCAGCTCTTTTCATGAGAACTTTACCAGGCATATCCTTTTACCTACTTCTTTGACATATTTTTCCTAGAAGTTATTCCCCTTAGCTGCCATCTTGTAGGGCAAAGCAGTGAATTTTCCTCTTTGAGCAACCAATTTTAAACAATTACATATGCCAGAAATATATGGAGGAAAATATATTGACAATCTCAAGGTTATGAATTAACAGAGGCTTTAACAAACGTATTTTCAAAAGAAAAACCGTGTTAACTTTACCTCATGCAGTAACCAGTATAACAAATTGAACTTGGTTCACCCTTGAATAATGAAGGGAACTGGGAATGTTGCCCTACAACATGGCGGCCATGGGGAATAACTCTTGCTTTTAAATATGGAAAAACCATCTATTTTGAAATTTTGTACATGTATGTATAATTCTGCAGTGTTGTGTAATATGGCTTGCTGCATTTTATATTTCAGACACTCAGGTGTAACAGTATTTAAAAAAAAAAACATTAGGCCTATCCTAGTTCACTATAGTATCGTGATAATAATTATAAGAATGCAGAGAGCCTGTGCCAGGTCCATCTTTCAACACACCAGCATGAGTATCTACCTGGATCTATTATTTAAGTTGTCAACAAATATTTCCAAGAAAGTTATTACATCTATCTGGTATAAAAAGTAGAAGATGAAAATATAAAATTACAGAAAATATGCAGTCGTTCTGCTCTTTCTTGTCTGCTTTCTCAGCCGCATGATGACGTAATATGTGACGTACGGCATTCCATAGTAAAACTACCTTTGGTTCCGTAACTTACATTTTATAACCGTTGTCATCAAAGTTCGACTTTAACGCGGAAATAGATTTTTCAAGATAAAAAGAATTGAATGACGACAATTAAAGTTATAAGGTATTTCCCGATTCTGTGACGAATACGAAACCGACAAGCCGAATAAGCCAGGTTCTACTGGCACTTCCTGCTACAGGAAAAAAAACAAGTCAGCGAAAGAACCTCATGTGGCTTGTTCCAGACTTTCATTTTGGCTGATTGCGCTCTAATCCTTGATACAAAGGTAAATTTGAATGTTTTTTTTTAAATCGTTTGCCATATTTTGTGTTTGTAATGCACGTATTTATTGATATTCAAGTTGCAACGAAAATTTTCAGAGTAAATTCGGATCTTGTTTTTAATTCAGGTTCTACAAGTACGTAACGCGGCATGGTGAATTGATCGAGCGACACCTATTTGAAGGCTTTACAAAGTCTTGCGTAAGTAATTCAAAAAGTGATTGTGTAAGCCTTTCTAGCTCTTTCTGACAGTTGTTCTGCTGAAAATTTAATTTTTCCATCAGATGTAAACATGGTAAACACTATTTAACAAGAGGCCCAGGGGCCACAGCGCTCACCTGAGCACATCGGGCTTGAATTTACTCCCCCCCCCTCCAGGCATTCATCATTTGAACAAACTTGAATCTACACTACCTGAGGATGATTCGATATAAATATCACTAATCATAGCTTTGAAGTACTTGAAAAGAAGATTTTAAAAGGTTTTCCTAGATATCCCTATGTAAAACTTAGGTCGGCCATTTTGGCCCCATCCTTGCCCCGGGGGTCATGATTTGAACAAACTTGAATCTACACTACCTGAGGATGATTCCACATGAGTTTCATCTTTCCTGGCCCAGTGGTTCTTGAGAAGAAGATTTTTAAAGATATTTCCTATATATTCCTATGTTAAACTTGGGTCGGCCATTTTGGCCCCACCCTTGCCACGGGGGTCATGATTCGAACAAACTTGAATCTACTCTACCTGAGGATGCTTTCACATGAGTTTTATCTTTCCTGGCCCAGTGGTTCTTGAGTAGAAGATTTTTAAAGATTTTTCCTATATATTACTATGTAAAACTTTGGTCGGCCATTTTGGCCCATCCTTGCCCCGGGGGGTCATGATTTGAACAAACTTGAATCTACACTACCTGAGGATGATTCCACATGAGTTTCATCTTTCCTGGCCCAGTTGTTCTGGAGAAGAAGATTTTTAAAAGATTTTTCTTATATATTCCTATGTAAAACTAGGGTCGGCCATTTTGGCCCCACCCTTGCCCGGGGATCATGATTTGAACGAACTTGAATCTACACTACCTGAGGATGATTCCACATGAGTTTCATCTTTCTTGGCCCAGTGGTTCTTGAGAAGAAGATTTTTAAAGATTTTTCCTATATATTTCTATGTAAAACTTTGGTCGGCCATTTTGGCCCCATTCTTGCCCCGGGGGTCATGATTTGAACAAACTTGAATCTACACTACCTGATGATGATTCCACATGAGTTTCATCTTTCCTGGCCCAGTGGTTCTTGAGAAGAAGATTTTTAAAGATTTTTCCTATATATTCCAATGTAAAACTAGGGTCGGCCATTTTGGCCCCACCCTTGCCCCGGGGGTCATGATTTGAACAAACTTGAATCTACACTACCTAAGGATGCTTCCACATAAGTTTCATCTTTCCTGGCCCAGCGGTTCTGGAGAAGAAGATTTTTAAAAAATGCCATTAATTTTTAACAAATTCATGATTAGCTCCCTTTGGAAAAGGGCGTGGCCATTCATTTGAACAAACTTGAATCCCCTTCACCCAAGCTTTAAGGATACTTTGTTCCAAGTTTGGTTGAAATTGGCTCAGTGGTTCTTGAGAAGAAGATGAAAATGTGAAAAGTTTAGGACGACAACAACGACAACGACAACGACAACAACTACGACAGACAACAGACAAATTTTGATCAGAAAAGCTCACTTGAGCCTTCGGCTCAGGTGAGCTAAAAAGTGATTTTTATTTTAACTTATACTGTGTGCATTATTTTGACAAAGTGTGGAGACTTGTAAACACAAAATATTTTTGGACATAGGTCCTACTAAAGATCCATCTTCTCGGGGAATGATTTGAGGGCTATGCCAAAAAATAAATAAATATATAACTGTTGCATTTAACAGCTGTTTAATATTTTCACTATTCAGGAATTCTGATCATTCTATGTAGATTTAAAAAAAAATAATCATCTTTTCAGTATTATAAGTCTGTTAAATCCTGTCATCAAATACGAATAATAAGTTGACGGTACAGCTGTTATGGCGAGAACAGATATTTATTTTGTTATACAATTTAGACCGGGCTCGGCAATCTGCACGACATTTGGTGCATCTAGACTCTGACGTCACTTGACGTCATATGTAAGTTACATATTTCCAAAAAGAAGCCTGAACAGTGATGAACGTAAATGAAGAACATTTTGTTTACTATTTATCTTCAATACTCATCCATTAAATCAGGGCATGTTTACTTTTAGTTGAACTTTTGCTGCTATTCTCGTGAGATTGTAGCTTTAACAAGTGATGCATTGTGGGTCCACATTACTGCTCAAAAAATTCTATCGAATGAATGTGCAGTACTCCTAATTTTCTCTTTGCACAGGAGTTGCTGTAAGATCTCGCAGTGACGGGTGTTAATTCGCGACGCTTGCTGCGCGCGCTATCACAATTAAAATTAAATATTTATTTCATTTGGTTACAATAGCACCCAATTTATGGACTAGGTCAATAACACACTGTTTCATATGATATCTGATACATGCCTCTATAATGGAGTTATGGAAGTACTAAACACAGGGTCTTCTGTTTTGCTCAAAGCATAATTTATATGCATGCAGTACCATCAAAATGAACTTAGTCAAATGTCGAACAATATATGTAGAGAAACAATTTCTTTTTCTTTTTCCAATTTTCAAATTGGTAATTTTTTTTAGGGCTACAGTTTTAATTTGGGTCTCCTGTACTAGGAATATCATATCTTTAGCAGAATTGTGCCACTGAATCAGGTCGAGGAATCTATTTTCTGTGACGTCGGAATAAATTTACATGTTAAGTGAGGAACCAACGTGACTGACTAATCGACCAATCAGCTCAATGAGTTGAATTATGGGTTACTACAAAAATACTACATGAGTGTTTCGAAAAGCCATTTTTTTAAAATCGCTCCCGGAAAGACATGATGCATTTTTCCAAGCATTTTACACGCTTAATATAATTTGTACATTATTATTTACTAATCCCATGCTCACATTTACATACAAATGATTAACAATGATAAAAATTAGGGCATTCCCCACTCCATTGTACAAGTCCGTTTGTTTACAGCTTTCCCCAAGCTGTACAGTCAGTGAAAAAGTCAATTTCACGTGGCTATTCATCGGTAAAAAAAAAACCCAACTTTGAGGTGTGCTCACGTATTGACAATGTTTGCAACGTATACAACTTAGAAACATACATTATGCTACTCAATACACGTTCTATGATCAATGCACATGAGAATTAATATAGAGGTAAAACTCAAGTCCTTTTTGTACATGTATGAACTTTAAATTAACTGAGCAACAACTAATTCAGCCAGTTACATGGCAAATTTACGATTATCAAGTACTGGAGTCCTTTATTTTTTACTTGTGGGTACTCTGTCTATATGTAGTAGACCATCATGCTTTTCGGCCCATTCACTAGATTGGACCATTGTCTGCTGTGAGCACCTTTGTGCGCAATGACAACAATATCCATATAAGGTAGTTTCCTCGACCTGTGAATTAAAAGGGAACTCTTTTTAATTTTTTTTTAGGTGCACATGATGCAAAGTCCTGGATGGTGTGTAGGCTGTTTGTCAACATCTGAAACCCACATGTATTTCAGGGTAGGTACATTGTATGTTTACTAATTTTCTTTCTTGAAAGGTGCATAAGGCATATTTTGTCTGATTTTAAAGTTTTGTCTCACTATTTATTTCTTGAAATTATTTTTTATTTCATGAATTATCTGCTGAGAGTCTAATTAATTGATTAATCAAAGCTTTATAGTAACACATACTAGTGAAATTATCTTCTTATGTGAGACTTTAAGATATACAAATTGACAAAACATGGACCTGTCAAGTGATATCATTGTATTTATTTTATTTCATGTCATCCTAATTTAGGAATTGGTTCCAACTGACCTTAACAATTGGAATATTAGTATGGGAGATATAATTTCATAATAAAATTTCTTTGTAGGAAATGCTTGTCAGGAGCCAAGACGGAAAAAAAGACTGAAAATTTGCCTTTAAACACAGACATTATTCATTTCAATGGATAAGCTAGAAACATCCAAACAATATTACATTAGAATCATCAGAGACTGTCAATTTTTATCCCTCACTGTGGCAGAAACACATAAATAAACATTGAAAAGATAAATTTCTTTGTTCATTGCTTTTCTAATGATCTACGAATATTGCAAAATATTTATGCGAATTTCGCACGATTTATACATGAAAAACTGATAAATTTAAATCCGCATGTATTTCATGCGAAAATATGTTCACATGAAAATCGCATGAATTTCGCATAAATATATTATATGAGGACATTCACATGAAATTCGCATGTGATTTTTCACATGATTTTTCATGCGAAAAGCAAATCGCATGAAAATCATGCGAGCCACTTTTCCCTGTGTATGCATATAGTATTTTACATTTTGTGGTGGACATGAAATGGAAAATATAGAATACAAATGTAAAATTATACAATACAAATGATTTTTTTACAATATAAATGAAAAATATACAATGCAAATGAAAATTTATAGAATATAAATGAAAAATATACAATGCAAATGAAAAATTATACAATGCAAATGAAAAATTATACAATGCAAATTGAAAATTTATAAAATAAAAATGAAAATTATACAATACAAGAGAAAAGTATACAATACAAATGAAAAATTATACAATACAAATGGAAAATATCGAATATTGCAACCTTTGACTTGCCATACACATTGAGTAGATTTATCTTTGTATATCTAGATAACACAACCAAAACTCTGTTATGTGTTCTTGAACCATGAATATTGATTTTTTTAAAACTTCAATAACATCAATAAACTTTAATGCGTTGTATAGAGACATTTAAACACAACAAAACCTGCCTGACTATTATCACTGAATGTAATATTCAGTTTGACTATTGATGCATTAAATATGATCAATACATGTAATATGCTTTTAGTTTAAGTCCGAAATAAAGACGCAGTTTTACGGTAAGAAAGTTTAATAGGCATAAGTATAGATTATAAAGTATATATTTAAAGCAAAACAATATGATTTTAAGATAGGAAATTCATGAAAGCCGCGAGGGGCTAAAATGTATTTTTGAGTATATGTTACACATTAATTGTAAATCTTGGAATGTTGTGCATTGATAAGTGTATGTGAGAGGAATTTTGCGAGAGTTTATATCCAAATATATATGTATTGAATTTAATTTTTCATTCAGGTGAACATATCGTAGATGATTATAATATTATTGAAAAGCTGTTTTATGAAAAAAAAAACTCTTTGGAAGAAAAAGTTAAATACAAATGTACCATTTGGCATAAAAAAGGGACTAATTCTGTCCTCGATTATCATTAATGGAATTAAATTTGTGTGATATAGTGTCATTTGTTTTAATAGAAGAATGTGTAATTTGTTTCATCTTTTTAAAATCATCTCTTTAATATTATATGCTGTGAAATTACTTATTTTTCATGAGACGTAATTTTTCGTAGTTTTTAACATAAGGAGAGACAAAAGTTTTAACCACCATGAATTATAAACTTTCATTTAAAAGCATTCCTACTCAACATTTTCCAACCACGAAATCAAATCCCGACAAACCAATATTTTTCTTCAAACCTTAAAAAAAATAAGTTCACGATAATATCTGATTTTACAGTACTTCATATGTTAATACTCATTCAGTATGATGGAACTAATGATTACACAATTAATTATATGCTCTTGCAAAATTTTAAATTTTAGGCGCAATTTTATCACGTGACAATGTCTCTTAGTTTGAATGCTTACTGTGACTGCATAATACGTTGCTATGCATTCAAATAAACACGATTAATGAAGGCTGGTAGCACGGTCGAAATATTTCAAGAAGTACTTGAAAGTATTTTAACATTACTTCACGGTTAAAAGTTTAAGTGTGTGTTTTATTTTGACGTCACAATTGTTGAACGCTGAGGAAGCACATCGTCACAAGCGGGAACAAAACAAAATAGCACTCACATTGACCATAGGATGTAATATTGGCTCTTCCATTATATAAGGAATAAGGTATCATTTTTTGAGTTTTATTGGGATGTAAAACGGGTTGGTCACGTGATCAAATCCCATTAAGCCTGAAGGGCTTTATGGAAGATTTGATCATGTGCCAACCCGTTTTACATACCAATAAATCTCAAAAAATGATACCTTGTTACTTATATTTACATTTGTGAATTATTCATACTTTAAATTTGCCTGATTGTGACTTTTCACGTGTGAAATGCATTATTTGTCAAACCCAACGGTATGTATGTAATCCACTGAATGCGCGTCGACCCTTTATAACGTCACTGAGAAATTACGTCGAACGTTTATCCATACGAACATCTATGACCGCTTGACCCCGTACCTGTATTTATACAGTTATAAAAACGCTTGTTTTAAGTAGTGTTATATAAAGGAAAACATTTGCAAATGTAAATATATGGCTATGCACCTCGTATCGAGTCATCAAGAAGTACATTAAATGATTGTTTATTCTCCAAAACGGCAAATATCCCTTCAGTACCAAGGAAATAGATACAACTGAATAAAGACTGGGAGAGGCGGAGCTGACTTCACGGGGGTCATCTGCTGAAAATTGGAAACTGAAGCTTCTCACCCCTCCAACCAATCCTGGCGGGTCCTCCTTGGACGACAGGTGTTCTTTCAAGCTGACTCGAGGAGGATGTATGTATGCCTTTCCATTTACACGTAAACTTGCCACACACTCCTATTTTGCAATACGCAACGTACAACCATACTGGTTCTTCTTCCTCAAGTTCCTAATATGCCATTTTATGTCAAAATGCTCTCTCTGGTAATCTGAGACAGTGTACTATGTTTTGTGAAACTTTTGTGTCTAAAATGCATAGACATTGATATTTTCAATAAGTTTTAAAGCATTCGAAACCTACATTTTAACTTTTCTACTGATACTGGAACGTCGTCAACACACCGGCGCTCTCGAATGGCATGGCTGGAGAATGTACCTGTAAGCCCAATTGTGATATCGGCGATTTTTTAAAAAAAGTTTTGAAGTTTCTGTCGGTTGGCTTTTTTAACGGAGTGCCATTCGGCATTCTTGTTGCTTTGTAGTGGACGATTGTCTTCTTTCCTGTCGATTTCACTTGTTATTCTACGGACAGTACCCTCGACTTTCTTAGGCCTATGTCTTAATATCGTAAATTTGCACATGTATTGGTCATAAAAACGACATAAAAAGATTTTTTTTTAATTTAACAATATATATACTTAAACATGTAAATCATTTTGAACTTTGTTGAAAATTGTTATCAGTTTGAATTTTACGATATGTTTAAGTACGAAGACCCACTTGGGGTAAAATGATCAGAAGAATTCATCCTTAAGAAATAAAGTCCATGATTTTGTGAATGTTGCAGAATAAGCTCCGAGAGGGTCGAGAAATGTTGTTTTAAAGATAAAAGCTGAAGCATAAGCAGTGACTTGACATGTTAAAAAATATTTCGAGATCGAGGAGGTTATTTTCCATGATTTACGACACAAGGACTTAACTTCTATTTTACTAACAGCTCTAAAAACTGTTGATCGTTTTCTCTTAAGAGAATGGAATTAGGTCACAATTTCACAATTACACTGTTACATTTATCACTAGTGGATAAAGAGTCGGATTGTGACGTAAAGATTACGATGTAAAAAAAGTGAAGCCCATTCGGACAATAGCAAGTTTATCGACTCCCTGGACAGTAAACTATTTTTCTCGTGCTGTCTTGAGGGACGTCTTATTGTCCTCATAGCCTGTAAATAGGTGTAAAATGGATTTTTGCGAGAAGCACGACTTTCAAAGTTGACGGTAACTTGTATACGGAGGTACAGAATTGATAATAGATAAGAAAACCTTTCTAAATGTCATAGATATGGTGTAAGGGGGTACTTTCAGATGCAGGACGGGAGTTATATGTAAGGGTAGAGTGGTTGTCGTTTTCTTCAAGGACAACTTATATTTGCATTGAGATGACCTATTATGTTTGTTAAATTTAATGTTGAGCTCAATATTTTTATCGTTAAAGAGCTAAAGTTTTATTCATTCATGCAGAAAACGTGTGTAATGTAAATATATTTTTTAAAAATATTTTATAAAAGATGGTGAATAAACTGTTGAAAATTAAACAAGAAAAGAAGTAAAAAAAAAAACACCTTGAAATTGCTCTCCAATACTTCTCAAACAAAATCTTAAAAAAGATATATTTGGAGAATAGTTTGACAACAAACTTTTTTCTTTTGATTTCACAGGAATCACAACATACACTAAATAACACACACACTAACCCCCCCCCCACCCCAACCCAACACACACACACACACCCACACACACACACACACACACCCACCCTCACACACACACACCCACCCACTAGTTTGGACTTCACACACACCCACACACACACCCACACAACACACACCCACACCCACACCCACACACACACACACACACACACACACACACACACACACATACGTGTTTGGACTTCGATCTGGGGACCCTGCCAAAAAATCTTAAAATGGGGACTAAGCGATTTCGTGGCAGAATTGGTATTGTTTAACTTATTTTACCCCGTAAGTATCCTGGAATAAGTAAATAAACTGAGTCTTTGAGCTAGAATGATATATTCATAAATTTAGAAAATGGGGACCCGGAAGTGCCAATATGGGGACCTCTGTGTAAAGGTAGGGGACCCAACTTCTCATAAGCTTACAGAATTGGGGACCTTTACTCAGTCCCTCATACACAAGGAACAGAAATGGGGACATATTTATAAATTTAAGTTTGGAAGATGGTTGGACATGTTTATTTATTTATTTATTCCGGCGCGGATTCAGGGATTTCTCAATGTGGGAAAGGGTTATCCTTAGTCCAAAAATTTCCAATCCAGAAATTCCTTAATAAGCAATAACAAATGAAAATAAAAAAGAAAAAAAAACATGTTATATCATTTCCCAAACGTTTATAAATAATCTATTTCTATGCGCTGTTGGTGGGGTTTACGTTTTTTTAAAGGAATGAGGTGGATGTGTTCAAAAGACATTTTTTTGCTTCACTATATATACATAAGGAAAACGGCTTCTTAAATTTACCCTTTACATTTTATTACGGCTCCACAGCACCACTATTATGTTATACCTGCCAACATCCCTTCTCCCCCGTTTAC